TATGAATTATGTATTCTCTATAACGAAGATTTACTCGTATGTAACATCGATTTCTTGATGAATATTCAAATATTGTCAAGGTAAAAGTTAATAAATCAATATGAAAGTCAAAAGTGCAGAAACGGAATCTCTTATTGAGAATCAAGATTTGATCGGTTAGGTGGTTTATTCACTGTTGTTACATTGTCAACAACTTGACAGTTGATCGAATTTTACTACAACTCTCTTCATAATTCAAAAATCTATTGGCATCTCCTCTTTTCATCATTGTTAACATGTATATTGAAGTCATCATTCTTTTTTGAACAGAAGTTTAAACTTTATAAATATATTCTGAGTGAACTCTTACATCAAATAATATATTATTAAACTTTAATAACTAGTTTATAAACCTAAGTAAGATTACCAATAAGTTAACATTGTTAAATTTTCGGTTTATGTAGCATTTATTTATTTACAATTAGGAAATGTAAGTAAATAAGACAAGATTTTCTCCCACTACACCAAAATTAAATCCCAAACAATACACAATATTGTAAAATAAATATAAATATTGTATATAAAACTAATAATATTTAAAAATAATTTGCAAATTTCTTGTACATTGTAAATTAGATTTATCATTTTTAATTCATATGTTTAAAATTTAGCAAAATGCCAAAGAAATGTAAAATTCGTACATTGTACAGCATAAAAATCTAAATCTTACAAGAGTTTAGATAAATAAATATTTCTTATAAAGATTATAATAGTAATTATTTTTTTATAATAAAAAATTTGGTAAAACTTTTTACGCCAAAAGAAATCTTTGAAAAATTTTGAAGAAAAATTCACAAATTTATCTTCATGGCTTCTTTGTTGATTATGTTTCTTTTTCTGGAATAAAAACATCTCTCTTCATCAAACTTTTTCTTTCAACAAAAGATCGCATTTCTTCTTTTACTTACTTTTTTCCCCGGAAACGGTTTTCTACTTGATAGCTACATGTAATTAGTTTTAGTTTTAAAAGGAAAAAAGAACATTTCTTATGATTGAGAGAAATTTCAGTTTTTCTTATCTCTCAAAGGAATATACATATATAAAAAAATTAATCCAAAATTAAGGATTCAAGTTAATATAATTTGATGAATATAGATTAAAATTGTAAGATACCTTTGGTCGAAGGAACTAATTAAATCTTCGGTTTATACAATGTAGCAGATTAAACGATAAAATTAATTATTTGACATTTTAGATGCCTTCACCAAACTTAGATATTTTGAGGACAGTAAAAATTAGAAAACGTCTCCAGTGACAAATGATATAACATTAACAGACAATAGCTACTGCTACATACAAAAGAAACCGAGCAAAAAAAAATTCAATTTTAACTTTAGCAAGTTTTCAGTAATAATTTAACCCCAACTTACCATTTTCATGTAACTAACCACAGACCTCCCATAAGTTGTAACTTTAGACCGCGTGCATTCAATTGGGAAAATTTGGATAGGTTGGCTCTGATCCAGATCTTGAAGAGCTTGAGAAAATAAGAGTATGGCGTCATATAGTAGAG